ATTATTAATATCAAATTGATTAAAAGCATTAGTGACCTGAGTAATGCCTTTTACTAATTGTTCTTCCGTCAAGCCTTCATTTTCCATTTCTGTTTTGATTTAAAATAAAAATAAGAATGTTAATGCATTATTTCGATGCTGTATATTTATTTATACTTTACAGTGAGTGGTTATACAAAATAATCGACTATAGTAAGAAATTTATCCTAAATTGTGCGTACCTGCATATCTATCTATCTATCTATACATATCAATCCTGTATTGTACGTACGTACGTACATACGCAATTTTATGCGTCCTGCAAATAAGCCAGCCAGCCACTAATGAATTTAGCAAGCTGTATTACGTTGCTCAATTTTTTTGTTTTATGCGTAGTTAGTAAGGCGGCATCCACAATTTACGTTAAACTATTATGGTATTGTATATTGTATTGTATAAAAATAGGGAATGCAATATAGTATTATGTTTGTATTATCTTTAAGATCCTTATGACAATACTGATTTAACGTAAATTGTGGATGCCGCCTAATTAAAAAATTTTTATAACAATCAAATAACACACGAAAAGTTTTTTTTTTTAATTTTCTTATGATTGAATAAATTAATAATGCATTTCAGTATACTGCGCCCTAAATTCAGTATTTTTTTTTAAATACTAAAAATATTTTATAGAAAATTTTTGAATAAATCTTCTATAAAAAGAATTAATCTTTATGCCACTATAACTCTTATAGAAGAAGTATTTTTCAAAAAAACTGACAGTAAAATGTAAGTTATTTTTGAAAAAAATTCCTATAAAAATTTTTAGTGATTTAAAAAAAAATACTGTATTTAAAGCGCAGTATATTGTGTATTTTGCTCTTTCTAACTAATATTACGTATTAACATTTTATTGGCTTATTATTTCATGTAATTGAAATGCATTATTAATTTATTTAATCATAAGAAAATTAAATATTCATTTCTCATGATTGTCCGAAGTGAAGCGAACAAGACTATATATATGTGGATAAGAAAAATCAAATGCATGTATTATATGTTTATACAATGTTTGACAAAAGCAACCAAGTTTCTGAGTTGATATGCAGTGTAGATAGTGGGATCATTAGGATCGATCATTGGGCATTTTTTTTGTAACGATTGTATGTAAGTGCATTGATTATTAAAAGAAAAAGTCTTGTCTTTTTTGTCCTTTGGAAACACTTTTTTCTTAAAGTTTTTTTTAGTGTTCACTTTGAACCTTCATCAGATTCTGATTTTCTAGTTATATATAGATTTTCAAAATAAAAGTTATACTACTAAATTAATTGTCCGGAGTGAAGCGGAGGACCTTAATTTCCATGCGGGGTGATACAAAAGTTACTTACTTTTTTGATGCATCAATTATATATGACATATCAAAAAAGTAATTCTATATTTTCTGTCCGTCCATCCATGTGATCTATATAGTATTTATCCATTTGCGTGTATATAGCATGATTAAAAATCTATCTGCCCGGTTGCTTCAGACTTATATTATAGTTATCTAATATTTTTTAAAAAGAATTAGTTTATGGCAACCCGTGATCGACCAATCAACATCAATCACATGATCCACCAGTTAATTTAATTATTATAATTTTTTTTTTTAAAAAAAAAAAAAAAAAAAAAAAAAACTAAACTAAACTAACGGACGTCTTATAAACATTATTACACAAAAAAAATTTTATTGTTGTGCAATGAACATCGAACCAACAACATCCTATTTAAAAAAAAAAACAGTGCTATGAAAACTTAAGTGGCATGAAAAAATTCTAATGATTTCCAAAGACGGTACCAAAATCACACAACAGCTTCAGCGATGACTCAAACGAAGGCACCAGAATTATACAATGACTTAAGCGATGACTCCAACAATGGCACCAGAATCACACGACGGCTTCAGCAACGATTTAAATGAAGGCACCAGAATTACCCAACGACTTAAGTGATGACTCCAACAATGGCACCAGAATCACACACGGCTTCAGCACAACTCTAACGAAGTCATCAGAATTACCCAAAGACTTAAATGATGACTCCAATAATGGCACCAGAATCACACGACGGCACCACAATCACATGACATAACAGCTTCAACAAAGGCACCAGAATTACATAATGACTTAAGCGACGCCTCCAACAATGGCACCAGAATCACATGATGGCTCCAAAGTCACACAATAACTTTAGCGACGACTCCAACAATGATTACTTCAAAATTCTGGTAATGGCGAATTACACACAAATAGAAGAAAGAGAAGAATGTAGTAAAAAGGAAATACCAATAGAAAAATGAAATAACGAAAGAAAAGAGAATAACGAAAGGAGATTGAAAGAAAAAGGGGTAAGGAAAGAAAAAGAAAATAACAAAAGTAAAAAGAAATAACAAAAGAAAAACAAAAGAGACAAAAGAAAAAAAAAAAAAAAACAGAAAAGGAGAAACGAATAAAAGAAAGAATAAAAAAGAAGTAAAACGAGAAAGAAATCAAAAAAAAAAGAGATGGGACAAGAAAAATTGAATGAAGAAACATGAATAAAGAAAAGAGAAAAGAACGAATAAAAAGAAAAGATAAACAAAAAGAAAGAGAAAACAAAAGAGAAAAAGATAAATGAAGGAATGTAATAAAGAACAAAGAACGAAAAACAAAAAAAAGAAGCAAAGAAAATTAAAAAAAATTGTAAAAGAAAGAAAACTAAGACAAAACAAGAATAAACGAAGGTATAAGAAAAAAAAGAAAAAATAACAATGTAAGCAAAAACAAAGGAGAAGAAGTAAGAAAAAATAAAGAAAAATGAAGAAAAGACAAAAAAGTGAAGAAAAAAATTAAAATCACATACCTGCACAAAAAGCAAAAAAACAAAGAAAAGAAAGGGTAAGAAAAAAAATAAAGAAAAACAGAGACAAGACAAAAAAGCGAAGAATAAATTAAAATCACATACCTGATCCCGAAATTAAGCGCAACAATAAAAGCACAAAAAGCAAAAAACAAAGAAAGGCACAAAAAGCAAAAAACAAAGAAAAGAAAAGGAAAGAAAAAAAAATAAAGAAAAATGAAGAAAAAACAAAAAAGCGAAGACAAAATTAAGTGAAACAACAAAAGAAATAAACAGAATAATTTGTGTAAATATATAATCATCAATCTTTACTGTAATTGGCCGATTATATAGGGTTGCTATGGTGACGGTTTTAAAATTGTTAAAATTTTTTATAAAAAATTTTTTTAAAAAAAATTAATGATAATAACTTTACAATAAATTAAATTTTACAAAATT